AACGTCGTAATGACGAAATTGATGCTTAAAAAAATGTACTTTTTTTTAAAATTCTTTCCGCCCCGTGGGCACTAAGAGGGCCTTTTTTTGCAAGCCCATTATGGGTTCGGCCAGGCCCACAATGGGGCGACCGGGTGGTGAGGGACAGAGCTCGACATATCCGAACGGACCACCCCCGAAAAATTCCTGGGGATTTTTCAACCCGATCGGATTCGAGCCCAGTCCCCAGCCACCTTGACTGCTCGGCCATCCGGTCGCTAAAAAAAAAAAAAAAAAAAAAANTCGACTTTTTTATTTTTACAGCATAATATCGTATTATACACACAAGCGTCCATTTTGCTTTACACGTGTAGCGGACGTAAAAGCTGCTTTATCTTCGCTGCAGCGACCTCTTGCAGCAAACGTTTAGAAACGGTTCGCTACATTGCAGCGCTGCATTTAGAAACGGGTTTCAGAGAGTTCGCTGTAAAGCGCTTCTCGAGCGCTGCATAAAGAAACGCGGCCAATGCGATCCTTACAGCTGTGCCTCCTAGCGGTATTGTGGAATAGCGACGAAACGCATTTTTAGGCTATCTGTCTGGCACACTAAACATGCAGAATTTTCGTTATTGGGCTGCTGGAAACCCCCGAGAACTCCACAACGACCTCTTCACAGCCCGACAGTCACTGTTTGGTGTGCTTTGTCCTCTGTAAGCACCGTGGAGCTTTTTTTTAAGAGGATGTCGTCACTGTTATTGCGCGCCCACCAGTGGCCAAGCGGTCTTCGTACCCTGAACACTGGGAGTTCGGTCGTGAGTCCGCGCCTCGCTAGGACGGGCTGGCCACGTGGAGTTTTCCGGGTTTTCTCCACGTCTGTAACGCTTAAATAGGGGCCAGTTTCCTTTAAAAAGACTTCCCGGAAGGCAACGCCCAAGTGTTGCGTTGCCATAACTAAACAAATGTTACTATGACTTCCAACCGATACTGCGACATGCTGGAGAAATTTTTGCGCCCCAAAATGAAAGAATACAAGTGGCTTTTGGTTTCAACAGGATTTCCCACAGCCCATACGAACTGTCGTTCTCGCGCCATTTTGACAGATGTTTCCCGGTCGACTAATCTCTTTACGAATGGCCCCCTCGCTCCCCCGATTTGAGCCCCTGTGAACTTTTCTTATGGGGGTATCTCAAGGCAGGTTTTTAAACATCGTCCTCGAACCTTACAAGAACTCAAGGCGGCCATTCATGAGGAAATCGCCAAAATTCCTCCAGATATGGTGGTGAGAGTTGAAGAAAACTTCAAGGAACGGCTCCAAATGTGCATCGTCCGTGAAGGCCAACATCATTTTTAAAACCTAACAAAAAAAAAACCGTATTATGTATACTTTAAAATTAGTAAAAAGTTTTTCCATATTCTTGTACCTTTTTTTTTTTAAATTCACGTCGTAAATGCGAGACTCCGTTATGCCCCACCCTGTATAAAGAATCATAACAGGCCAATTTAGTCATATAAAATACGAAATTATATTTTTAAATTAGTATCTAAAGAAATTTCTTAGAAAACGGACACTTCGATAAATTTAGATATCAAAATATATTCACCTATAAAGGCCATTTCACACCAAAATTTTATACGCATCTCACGCGACAAGCTGTATACTTTCAGAAAACAGCTTTTATAATTTAAACGAATATTTTCACATGGCCTAAAAAGCCGTATTCTCTATATAAAAATCTAGCCAGGTTAGGTATGTTTTTGCTATTACCCAACAAAAATTACGAAACATGGCGAGTAATTTCAAGAAAAATACAACACGTTGAATGCTCTGTACCTCAAGATTACCAATCAGTTTAATCATGTCTTCTTCCGTTATATTCTATGTGCACAATAGACATTAATCGGCTATTTGCCTTCCTTCCCAGTGAATTTGGTGTATGAGAAGTATGATGTATTTTTGTTTCCGAACAAAATAATACTTATTAAAATACTTGTGAAATTTCTGTCGGGTGTACTTTGTCTGTGGAAAATTTTATCTTTAGAACTTCGATAAAATTTTCACACATTAAGCCACAAAGCCACGTCAAGGCGACACCCATTTTGTGGTAGTTTTTTGATTTCCAGAAACTGACCCCGATTGTTCGACAGAATAACAATCGGGGAATAAAACTGGATATTCATTGCTATTCGATTAATTCGGTAACCAAATCGATTACAAAACACCCAATTTTTATGTCATAAGTCAAATATTCCTATTAACTAAAAGGCATTTTCAATCCACATTGTCAATTCAAAATAAAAATAGCAACGAATAAAATAATTAAATATATATATATATATATTTTTTTTTTCATTTGGGGATCAACATTTCCCTTACTAGGGATCAGAACACCCCGCACCGCTGTTGCACAACGGGGTTTGTTTATAATCCTTATTCTATATTACAAGAATTACATGAAAAAGTTTATAAAGTTTAATGGATGCTCCACCGGAAATTCCAGTGTTGCATCTCGGTTCAACTACTCCTTTACAACACCCCTAATGACCATAAGACGAGTATTTCGTCCCAGTCTGAAGTCCCTCCGTTGAGGTTGTCCTATAACATCTTGTTAATCTCAATAATGCTACTCTTTGCGCTTGCCTTAGATGCTTATTTTGTGTAGAGTTTTGTACCTTGTCACACCATACCGATGCTGCATATGTCATAATTGGAACGAACATGCCATCATAAATAATTTCCATGCCTGAAGACCTAAGGCCCCAAGTACCATTAGCAACTTGTGCCATCTTATTAAAGATAATATTGCTTCTAATTTTAAGCTCTTTTATATGTTCATTCCAACTAATCCTGTTATCGATCACAACTCCCAAATACTTTATTTTCTTTACAATCTGAATATTTTCATTCCTCATCTTAATTATTGGGAGCCTTCTTTCGAAAGCCGTCGTAAATTCTCTTGCCATTATCATTGCTTTTGTTTTCGCAGGATTAAAATCCAATTTGTTTTCTTTACCCTATTGATCAAAGTCTGATAGGATCCTGTTACATTCACTTTCTATATGTCTGCGTGAATGACCAGCCACAATTATTATATCATCATCTGCATAGGCTGTACACCTTATTCCAGTGTTCTGTACTTTCTTTATTATTGCATCAAAATAAATAACTGAAAAGTCAGGGCCCGACTTAGACCCTTGTGGGCACCCTCTCTCCAATTCTTTCTCAATCTTCTTGTAGTTTAAATTATAAGTAGCAGTGCGATCTTTAAAATAATCTTTTGCCAGCAAATATAAATTCCTTGGACACCTTTTCCTTCTTAGTTGCCATAATATAAAATGCCACCATGCATTATCAAATGCACCTCTTATATCCATACTTATTGCAACTGCATACTTTGTCATTTCAAGCACTTCTTTAACATCTTTTATTACTTTATTGATGGCATCCTCTGTTCCTCTCTGAGCTCTAAACCCGTACTGTAATTCACTTATCCTTCTTCCTTCTTTGCGCATAAATTGGTACATGAAAATATACCAATTTATGCGCCTTATCAATAAGTCATCAAGCACCTTACCCATAATGGGCAGGAGACTAATTGGCCTAAAACTCCCATGGTCAGAAAGATCCTTCCTTCCCGGCTTGGGAATAATCACCACTTTTGCCATTTTCCATCGATATTGTTGTTATCGAAATGGAAAATGGCACTTTTGCCATTTTCCATTTCCATAACAACAATATTCCATATTTCAAACATTGATTATATACCTCTATTAGTACTTCTGGGTAAGTTTCCCAAATCGCCCTAATTATCTGTATGACTATTCCATCCTCTCCTGGAGCTTTGTTAGCTTTAATACTATTGATACTTTCATTTATTTCCTCTTTTGTAAAGGGAGGGTCATCCCTTTCCACATAATCCTCTTCCGCCTTCTTTCTATTCTCAATTTGATTGGCATTATCCTCTGAACTTATGTCCCTTGGAAAGAATGTGTCAAGGAGGAAAGAGACCGAATCCTCCAAAGACATAGTATACTCGCTCTGGGTCCTGACAGCTGTTGTAATTGACCTTGTTTTCAACTTTCCAGTGCTTATCTTGAACACAAAGTTCCAAGGATTACCAGAGTTTTCTTCACAATACCTCCTCCATGAATTTACTTTATATTCTTTTATCTTATTTTTGTAAAACTTTTCGAACCTCAAGAAAGCTTTCCTTCTTAATCCTCTTTCACTTGGAATACTACAGTGTTGGAATCGTCTTCTTAATTTGTTGTTCTGTTTCCTTATAGAGGAAAGTTCCCTATTCCACCAGGGAACCACGTGTCTATTTTTTTGCCTTTTAAGAGGAATGCAATCCCGGCATATTTCGTTTACTGTATCAATGAACTTCTCAGTCTTCTTTATTGTTTCTTCTCTACCATTGCTCTTGTTATCTATCATATCTCTCAATTCTCTTCCACATCTTGCAAAAAACCTCTCCCACCTTGTCCTATTGACATCGTATCTCCTCTCCTCTATCTTTGATCCACTTTTGGGAACACTTATTGTGAAACAGATAGGTGAATGGTCACTAAAACATCCTTCACTGTCAACTTCCCAATCTCTTAACCAATTTAATCCTTTATCATTACAGATCGTCAAGTCGATCCAACTACAACCCCTTGGACCAACAAAAGTCGGTGGAGAAGTAGGATCATTTATTATATGCAAACTATGCATTGCTAAGAATTCCATAAAGCCATCAGCTTCGGGATCATGATTTGGGTCACCCCAAAATGGGAAATGTATGTTAAAATCCCCACCAATTATAATGCCAAATCTTGAAATTTATTAATAATCTCGCCTATACTATCATAGGTACCACCAAGATCTTCACCAAAGACCCGGTATATGCTTACAATAATTAACTTATTACCAGCCACAACCAGTTCTGCACACACACACTGTTGATTGCTTACTTCAGTATGAAAATGAACATCCACATCCAATGTTGACACCGCAATAGCTGCCTGCGGTCTTACCATATCTTGTTGTAATACTTGTATCCTTCTACTAAAGCATGCCACTTTACCGTTTACAGTGTATGGTTCTTGTAAGAGAGCAGCCTCCTTTGATTCTAGCCTTTTATTTAACATTGAATTAGCCGCAATTGCCCTCTGCATATTTCCTTATATTACTTTTATTACTTCTGTACTATTAATTGACTCCATCTCCATAGTCTGTTCGACTAATTATTGTTGCTTTCGCCCTCAATACCAATGGGCATTTTCTGTCTAGGGCATTGTGCCTTGTATCTGCCATTTTATCTTTTTACAATTGCAACACATTTCAACAGTATTTTTATTTGGACAATCTCTATACTTATGACCCTCTCCACACTGACTGCATGTAGGGGTCTCCTGCTTACAATCCCGAGCAAAATGCCCCATTCTACAACAATTATAACACTGTACAATAGGTACAAAATCTTCCACTGGGCATCTCACCCATTGTAAATTCAATTTTCCAAGCTTTAACAGCTTTATCCAGTTTTGTGGGCTAACATCAACCACCCAACTTGAGGTGGGTTTATTTTTATTTTCAAGAGGAAACCTTACAGAGAAACCCCTTTCAAATTCTTCTAGTTCTACATTATTTCCCTGCAATTCTTCGTTTTGCTGATAAACATACTTCAAAATTTCATTTTTCTCTATTTCTTTTGGCACTGAATGTATAATAACTTATGGTGTTCTTTTCTTGGGTTCACGAGCAGACATTCCAGATATTTCAGCCACTGCCTTCTGCAGTTTAATTTTATCATTTGCCTTTTCAACTTGAATGGCAATTGCTCCATTCCGTAATTTCCTTAAACCTTTAACTCCAATTTTCAACGCTTGAGGATTAATTCTCTCTTTTATCATTTTCTTGGTTTTCTCAGCATCACAATCTCCTTCCGTGGGCTGCACAATAACCACTTCCCTCGGTTCTACTATCTTCTTGTTAATTAAAGGAGAACTAGCAACAGTTTGTGCAAAAGTCCTTCCACCTCTTCTTTCTTCTTTCCCTTTCAAATCTTCTAATTGCTGCTGCATGTTTGACACCATCTTCTTTATGTCTTCACCTTCTGTTAAAATTTCTATGATAATTTCCACTTTCCTTAGTATTTGTGGGATATGATCCCTAGTTCCAATTTTCGAATGAGCATTATTAACTAGATATTCATGTAGTTCATCTTGAACTTTCTGAGCTGCAGTAACCCTGTTACCTTGCAATCCATCCTGCCGACTTGGTAGTGATGGAATTGGGTCCTGGGACTCAACCTCGAGCCCCTCTTCTCCCCCTGTCCGGGCAAGAACAACAAAGTGTGGTGGCTTACTTGCCATCGCACAACAAAATAGCCTTGAAAAAGGCTTTGAAAGAGTCGCAACTACCTGTAGCTTCCCTAAAAAGGTACTAACGGGCCGCACCACGTGGAGGTAGGTAGCTACTTTCCCAAGAGCTCACGATAAAAGCAGCGAAAAGATCACAGAGAAAACGCTTCGGAATATTCGCCAAAAAACGCAATCGGAAAACTCACAATGGGACCAGCGGCCCAATTAAAAATATATTATCACATTATAAATATTGTATACTAAAATATATACTAGAAAATGATCATTATTTGGTAACACACAGACGTGCACTAAGATGGCTCGCCAGCATCGGCGAAGGCCGCGGTGCCTTATTGGCACTGTCGGTCAAACAACCTTATTACATGTGGCTGTGCCGAATACGGCTATGCCTATTATGTCTGCTTCTTCGACGTGATAAGCCCTTGTATTTATAGCTGTAAATAATAGGTTAACAGTTTAATTTATTATTAAATTTAAGGCTATAAGCGTATTTAATTTAAATATTAATAAAAAGAATATATACATAAATATTATATTAATTAAATGACTTATTTCTAATATTAATTACTTTAATTGTATATATATTATAATATATAATC